ATTAGAAATAATTTAATAATTTAACCTACCAACTAACCTGAATCTAGAAAATAAATTATGCATATAATTATCACTGATTTAAAGAAATAGGATTATTTGATATAAAACACTCGAAACTCACTCGACAATTCGTGCTCATTTTCTAGTTCGCCGTCTGCAAAATTGTAATATTAATTAACTTCTATTTGGTTTGACTCATATTAATTGACAGTTAATAATAAATAACATGCTTTGTATAATAATCATCTTTGTCACACCCAATGAGAGAAATGGTCGCGTGGCACTCTTAAAAATGTATTACTATATCTGTATCAACGTGAAAAATGAATGAAATATTATTACAATTTACCAATACTAAATGAATATGTAAATGTTAACAGGTATTAGTTATATTTTGAGACGTAATCACTCTACTTTATAGTAACTTTTCCACTTACCAGTAGGGTCGTACTCTACGTAGACCTTTAGTTTCGGTATCATCAAATGCTTAAAACTGAAAGTACATTTCCCAGTAGTTTCGTTGTAAGAATAAGCTCTGAAAGTAATTTATTTAGATTATTGAATCAATTAAAAGTAACTTCATTCATTGTTACAGCAAAAAGCTAAAGATTTAGTCATTAACTAAGTATACAAACAAAAAATATGGCCCAACTGAACAAAACTGAGTTTCGCTTTATTCTAAAATAAGATTTCATTATTTTACCACAAAATATTTCCTCTATTTGTAACAACTCATTCAATTCATAATTTACTTTTTTTTATGTAAATGAAAGAAGAAAGAAGAAGTTTTGCAAAGCAATACATACGCAAACCTGTCACAGCCACATTTATGATGGCAGTTAATTGGACTTGAAGGACAATCGCCCAACTCTCCACAATCATTTATGACTTTCTGAAATAAGTAAGATGATGTTTGTACCTCCCATTCAAAGGTTAAAGTTTAGATAGGTGCTTATTTATCCAAACTTTAAGTTAAACCAAAATAGCGATTATCGGCGCAAGTGTACATCAGTGTAGTGTAGTTCATTAAGACTTTATTGATTTGCTATTTTATATGCTGGTTACACGCTGCGTCTCACCCCCGGATCTCTATACAGACCCGAAAGTGTGCTACTGTGCATAGTTCAACTTTTGTTCAGCGGTTTGTAATAAGGGACCTAAAGCTAAAAAAAAACTCGGCGCCATCCATAATCATGTTAATATAATACAGTTAAAAAAATCATATACAGGCTACGATGCAACAGACATCAACCATTGTTCCTAAATTAAGTCATACATAGCAAAAGTATGTGCGCTGGAGGAGGGGGAATAGGGGCTGGTTAAAGCCGGATTTGAAAAAATGTACAAATTCGGTTGAAAGTTAATGGTATGCTTAGGTGATTTTTTTAAGATTTAGTAAGACAAGGTTATTTATGGTTTTTTTTGTACATTAAAGTAAATAATAGGAGCAAACAACGATATAAAACTATGTTTTTTTCATAATCGATCGAATCTTATAATAATTACTTACTGGATCATTACGACCATTCGGCACTCCCGCTGTAAAATAATCCTAATATTTATTTCCAATGAAGGTATTATTTATACTTCGTGGCGCGACCAGTACGTGTCGGCAATAAAAAGATTTATACTTAATTTTTATATAAATACAAATAACTTATTAATCATAAAAGTATATCAACAAGCAAATGCAAACTTAGATAAGAAAAAAATATTATAATATTTAGATTCACAAGTATGTATATGTGTTAAAAGATAGTTGGTACCATAAAATTACTTCATGACCTATATAATAATAGACTTTTTAATGTATTACATACATCTTAGAGCAACATAATTTACCTAAACACTTACATAAAATTAACGAATAAAATATTACTTACATGCTCCTAAAGATAAACTTAGAAAAGTTAATATTAACATCGTCGATCTATCCATACTGAAACAACCAAGTAACAATAATAAAACAATATTAATCTACCTGAAAATTGAATATCAGATAAATTGTTTATTTAACTATGTAGAATATTGATCGCTTAAAACATATGCGTATTTGTATTAGATTATAATAGAAGATACACAATTGCACTGAGAAACTATATGGAGTAAGAAATCTGAACTAAAATAGAACGACCTCGTCTGGTGTTGTCCGAAAGATATTGCTCCGGTTAATTCTCGATAAACGATTATTTAGAACATAGTGTATAATTAAACGTTACAAATTCTTCGTTCGACTAAAATATGTAGATGTTCTACATAAAGTCTGGGAACAAAACATATAACAAATTCTTTATTGTCACTAGTTATTTAATAATTACAGTTACAGAGACCAGATTTTTTTTTGTGTTTATAAAAATAACCTCTCTTTTTTTAACATTCAATTCATATATTTAAAACATCAGTATCGGTTCCAATATCTAGTTTTTCAATTTTCATTAATGACAACCCGGCAGTATGTTGGCGCGCAACTGATTAAACGTCAAAATCAAAGTATTAGACAACTATATAAATGACAGAAAGGGATGAAAAATTATTGCCCGTAGTAAATGAACAATTAGTGCTGCCAGTAGTAAGCAGTCAATCTTTTTCCTTCTAAAAATAATTAAATTAACGAGGAGGCTTTTCTTTAAACTCAACGACATTGGAATGTAACGTATTAGTTTTGATTTTTACATAAAAATAATTATGGCCAAAAATAAAAAGCGCATGATGTTTTGTAATCAGTTTTAATAAATGTATTGCATATTTTTGTGCATTATGCAATGAAGTCAATAATCAAGATTTTTATTTCCATATAGCATTATGAATGCAAAATTGATCAAATATAATAATTAAAATAAATTTTCATCTTTATCGAAAATTAAATATTTGTAAAAATATTGCTTTCGGCTATTGAGTAGATTGCCGGAACATTTATGGAAATACGCCCAATAGTAGTCAAAAAGTAACAAGTGTTTGAAAACTTCGTCAGTCCTGTTAAGTCCTGGGTAGGTCACTAGTAAGAACAGTCGCCCAGATTGCCAAAGGTCATGGGTCCCATCTCATAATGCATCAAACCTCTAATACTGCCACAGCGCTGTCCTATCATACAACCCTATCATAGCATTTAAAGTTCAATATTTTATAATAAGTTTTATTTGATTGAAAATAATGCTGCGAGAGTCCTGAGTTCGACACTTTATTTTTAACATAATACTGCACTCAATATTTACTTTAAAGTTAAAAGTATTTTGTTAAATAACTCGTTCTAACATGAAATAAACTTATCATTAATTTTTCTTATTAACGTTCGATCATTAATATGTTTTTGTATTGGATTGGTAAAGCTATGGAGTGCAGTAGTATGCTGCCAAGTATACAATAAAAGCTTATATTTCAATATAACATATTCAATTAGAAGCTTTTTTATATAAGGATTTATATAAAATATTATTAAACAGATTAACTTTGCTGTTAAGAGCTTAGAAACTAGAAAATAAAAACGTAAAATCTATTATACAAAAATGAATCATGCAGAACATATCGATATCTCACATTTATTCGATAATCAAGTAAACTGTTCAAATTCTTTCATACATCCCTATTTACGGTTCGATTAAATATGTCAGCGATATAATAGGTAATTCTTATACTTAAATTTAGAATTATTAATATCATTTTGTTTCTACCAAACATAACCAGATAATTTTGATAAATTTAGGACTATATTTTAGAAAACTCTTAACCCGAGATTATAAACAAAGATTGCGAAACTTGACATTTGACATTTCACTTGAGACCGGTTTTTGGTGGTGCAATAACTTAAAACGACTCGGTAAATTATTTAAATTTTCATGGCAATGATAATACTTACTATTCATCAATAATCAAAAAGTATCTGCATTGACTTGCATAGATTTGTACCTGCCCTGATTTCCAACACTCTTAAAATTTTCTACTAAACATGAAAAATATAAATGCATTGTCATTAACAGAGTAAACATAAATACAGACTGTTGTTTTCATCTTTCATTACCATTATAGTACATTAACTCCATAGTCTACCTGTTACTAATAGAAATAAGGTAAATGCTAACGATCCAACAAATAACTAGTCAGAACTCTCAAATAAATACAGAAATCAAAGACTTGAAGTAAATTTCAGTACTAAGACCAGTTAAATGTAAGTCAGACTTGTTAATAGTTCCGAACTGGAAATAAACAACCACAAAACAATTATATTTGTTGTTTGGGGAGCCCTTTAAATGTTTATCATATTTCAATTCTTAGTATTTATTCATATAGCAGCAACAGAAATACATCTAAAAAAATTCAACTGTCTAACTATAACGGTTCATGGGATATAGCCTGGTAACAATTGAACAGATGGATAGACATAAGAACAGAAAAGTCTTAGTAATAAGGTCATGTTTATTAATCCTTCGAGTATGGAACCCTTAAAATGAAATTATCCTACTTATACCTAAAGTTTGACTTTCCATCTGCCATCTTTTAAAATCAACTGGAACTGAAAAGTTGAAACTTTCTCCTTAGCACAATGTCATCATAGGATTACTAATTAAAGGCTTTTGTTTTATTCCATTTTCTTATTATCATATAATATAATAACAAATTAAGATGATCATTACTAGCCCTAAACTCGTTGGCTTTTTTATTTTTTCAACACTAGCTTTCCAAAATTCCACAAATGGCGTTGGCTGCATGGTCCTGTATTATACAAAAAAAATTCTTTTGAACCACACAACAGATGGAAAGTGACTTTGTTTTATACTATTTATTAAATATCATGAGTCTCCTCCAACTTCTTCTATTTTACATAATATTAATAATTTATTACTATAATATTATTAACCATAATATGCTATAATATAAAATCATAACCATGTTGTATTTCACACCAAACTTTTTGTTACAGATGTTGATAACAAATTTCCTATCGAGTCGAAGAATAACCCAATCCTGATGGTATATTCACATGAACTTGGTTGAGTCATGCAGCCATGGCGTGCAACAAGGCACTGTTTTCTGTGGCTGTAGTAGTCTTCGGTTTCATCTGTTTTGTCATAGGTGCTGTTGCTGTGGGACTACCGAATTGGGGCTACTTTTACAGCTGTAAGTTGAAATTAATTCTGTAATACTAATATTTTATAGAAACTTGTTTATCTAAAATGCCAATAAGGCATTTGGTAAATAATTATAATAAAATTTTTATTAATCTATTTGTTAAATAATTAATAATTAATGTACAGCCCCTCTTAAATATGATTAGCTAAATATTTCCATTCCTTGAATTAATGAATATGACAAAACAATTAATTGCTGTAGATAATTGCACTAGCACTTTGTAAAAGTATCTAGCTGATAATCACTATCTGATTGAGCAATTTTTTTCCTGGATCTCTTCATGGCTAACCATTGGTCTTGTTCCAACCATTATTCCTTGAACAAGTTGATAATTATAAACTTTGTATTTTGTATATGCCAAATATACAGCACATCACTAGGCATGTTGATGATGTGATGAATTAAAAACTACCTACATCAAAAACGATCACAAACTATACATAAACAAAACTTTTTTTATGAACATAACTTGCATTTAGTTACATATAAAATGTTTGGTTGCCATTGGCGCTATATTTGAATTGTTTAAATAAAGCAAAATTTTACATGTGGTTGTAACAATTTCAATTTTAGCAGAATCTTTACTAAATCACATTAATTTAACTTTGTTTACACAATACTAATTCAGGAACACAATACCTACCTACCAGACAAAATAGCAAATTGCACAAATTCTTTCAGATGATTCCGACATACAAATCTCTATGCAGTCATACTATTGTAAGTATTCACTATTAATTTTCCTAAATATTACTTAGAAAATTGCACTGATTACTACTAACATGGTGGAAGTTGGTGTTTATGTATATTTTAGTCTCGAGCAGAAATTGTTTTGATTTTGTAATTTCTCTAATTTGCATGATGAAAAGTAATGATTTCGTAATTCTAGCTTGAAAAGACAATTTTGGTCATTTTGGCAATGCTTGGATCGGCCAAAATGTTGGTTACGACTTTTGAGCCTCAAAGGTAAATTTTTATAATATTAGTTATCAATAAACTAGTAAATTGATATAGGCATCGATCGATATATGCACTCTAACTATCTACTGCATGTTTCCATACTCATTTTTGCTTTTATTAAGATGACAACTTTCCAAATTTTTATGTTTAGAATTTCAAATATATTTTTTATGTTTAAAGTTTTCATTTTCAGATTGAGTTGCGGACAAAAGCTAATAATATAATAATTAATTTACTCCGCGGGGTATAACATTGAGTATAGTTGCTATCAACAGGGTTCCAAATGCTCTCGGAATGCCCAGAGAATCCCAATCTCCCGGGTCGCAATAATTTTTCCGGTATTTTCATATTTGTAACCTTAATTTCCTTAATACGATTCAACGTAGTTAGTTTATTTGATGCTGCTCCAAAGCAATGTAAATAAAAATTTAAATAATAATCAATATTCTTATGAGACTTTTCAAAACTCCACCTTCTACCCCGGTTTGTTAATATCCCCGGTTGGTTTATTTCCAGAGTTGGTAACCCTAGCTATAAAGAAGGATGATTTGATAAAATAGATCCCACTTATTTCTTGCCGATTATTATCTTTGAGCTGTCATATATTAGCACGTATAATTTGTATTTTTTAGACTTATCGAATCCTATGTAGGCAAGACACTATTACGCGACCACGGATTTCCATTTTAAAATTGTTTTATTGATTATATTATTTATATTTAACATATGTTACTCAAAACAACGTCATTCTATACGTGAGATTGACGACTCTACGTATTATTTTAAATTCTTGAGTTTGAAAAAACTGGACCCTATCAACGGAAGTCGCGCTCCCAGGCATGGGCGCCTGCGCAGCCTCAAAGTAGGCCAAACCGCGCAATAGTATACTGTTACATTTTACCTTTCTAAATCCCTTGTTGTGATGAGATAAAAGATACAGTATTGAAAGTGTATTTTTAATACAGACTTTTTTGTTTATTTTATAAGATTTAGAAGGAGTTTTCATATTACTTTACCAATCCTTAAAGCAAAAAAAGTATTTTATACTCAATGTTAAAATTATTATAATTCAGGGTCATAGACACGGGTCATAATCACAATCGTCACAGTCAAAGTATCATAAAGTCATTATAACAGTTATAGCAAAAAAACGAAAGCTAAGACAATTAACACTACTTAATTTTAACAACGCTCAAATTATCGTCTAATTTAATGACTTGATTAAGCTTCACAAGACTTTTTACTCGCGGCACGAGCTCACTGCACATTTAAAAATGTGGCACGCCCGCCAAACGGGTCGTTGACCTACGGGACCTTTGTGACAAAACTTGTGGGAGATGTGCCAGCGGTCGCAGTTATGGTCTGTTTTTTAAATCGTATAGACATCGTGCACTTGACTTATGCTAAAACCTTTATTCTGCCTCATGAATACTAAAATCGCTTTTTGGTTTATTCATTTAATATTAAAATGCCATGGTTATAAACAGTAGTCTAAACCATGGCATTTTAATTACAAAATGATGTTATTGTAATAACATTGATAAATACATCGAAATTATCTATTACAGATACAAAATGGAATTTTTTCCCTCGGCCGAAAAATCGTAAACAACTTTAAACCTGTTAATGTTTTTATCATAGAAATGCATCAGAAATTACTCAGCAACAAATAGATGCGAAGCAACGTAACTGTTGTTGAGGTTTGTTCGTATCAAGTACCATCAATGGTCAGACATGACAATGCCATTTTTTCGACTGACAGCCAACGGCCTCAGATGCCAATATTCATTTGAAGGTCTCAACAAAAAGAATATTTTTTTCGTTTGCCTCCCTTGTTTTTGCGATCGATTTGTCTTCAGTGTCTTCATTGTCAATGACATTGATGCTAAACGAAGTGTCGGGTCTGTACAATTCATTAACAGTTAATTTTGTGTCGCTTTGTTTTTTTTTCATTCGTTTTTTATGCTATACATCTTACCGTCTTCTAGTCTTTTGACAAACAGGTGGTAAACTACAAGAGACCAAGACTCATCTAATGTTCCGATCTATTTGCTCAAAAATAAAGTAAAAACTATCCCACGAACGGACGACCGGTACTGTTATGTTATCATACCATCTTAATTGTTATAAAGCTACACTCGTGTTTACTACAGCTACCGTCATTTTTGTTTGGAAATTTTCCGCTTATTAATGCAATTTAACTTTTGAAATTAACTGTAAACAAGCGAAGATTACATATTATATCATAATGATCATATATTTAAGATATACAAAGTCACACTATGGCGAGTCGTGTTCCATGTCACGTGATACAAAGATTTAAAAACTGCTTTTGATTGATATCCTAGGCCTAAACGTTACTGCTATTGCTAGATATTAGTTCTAGAAAAGTGATATATGATGAATAGAAAATGATACTAAATCGCGAAGACAGATACAACTAGAGTCAGAGTTGCGTATTCCGCGAAATAAAACGGCAAAAATATATTTAATTAGGTTCCTACCTATTTATGAAATCAAAGACTCTATAACTATATACTATTGTATTATAGCGAGATGGCTTGGACGAAAAAGTGCTATACATATTTTTCGACTATAGTTAAAGAATTAACCATAAAAAAATATATTTTTCTCAAGTAACTTTGCATTTTTTGTCAGAAATAAAATAATGAATTCCTGTTTTAGCTCAACTACTTCATGTGCCCTTTATACATAAATAAACGGTATCAGTTTTAAATTCGTAATTACATTAAATTTGGACTTTATTTATTTTGCTCACCACCAATTTATTACTGTTAATTTGATTTAAGCGACTTCCAAATTACTTTTATGTCCGAAATGACAGGTTAAGGTATCCAAATATGCATCAAAACAAAAATTGAATATTGTTATTATAATGTCAGAACTTAGCCACACTTAAGAAGTCTCTAGTAAAAGAATTTCTGAATGTCTCTAGGAAGAATTTCCCAAAACTGGCACGAGTGTGGTATTGAGATCGGCCGCGAAAATCTTTTAAACACATACTGTAAGGAAAACACAAACTTTTCGTTAATTCGATTATTTTAATAATACATAAATTTAGCCATGGGCTTCTAATACATTTTCAGTAGTGTTATTAATATACAAGATTTAGCGTTGGAGTTACGCGGAGACTACACAAGTCAAAATTCAGATTATTAAACAGAGACTTAGCAAAGGTTAACTAGTACGAGGTTCTACGAGAATAATATTTACTCCTAGAATGAATTTGGACTAATACTAAAATTGTAATTTTAGCGTAAATTTACTTTTGATGCTAAAACTTGTATATTAATAGCACTGCGATAGTTTAGATTGCCAGCCAAAAAGGTTAACAACCACTGTCTTCAGAAATGTCTTAGTTATACAAAAAGGGCTTCTTAATAAAGAAATTTAAAATAACATCGATAGCTTTATCCATAATATGTATGGATCATGTTTAACTGCTAAGTTTAAGCTAAACACCACCATATCTAGGCTATCGGTTTACCGGCACTGCCAAGTATCGTAAAAATTATGGCTGCATTCTTTATGACTTATTGTTCTAGCTCCCTTAATGTTTTAACAGTTAAGACCGTGGGACATACAATAGTGATAGTCACGAATGTTATAAAATATTTATTGCACATTGAAAGTTTGCATTACCGTGTAATTTTCAATAACAGTTGTGGTGGACTTTAACAAAATGTTACTCTGATGAATATAGGTAGCAATTCTGTAGCACTATACTATACAGTGGCGGACTAACCCTGTCGGGGGCCCGGGGCGGCATTAGGTCCGTACCTACAACTTTTTACAACTGGTGCAGAAACTTGATTTTGTGTTTACACCGCCTTTCCTGCTAAGACGCCTGCTAAAACTACGAAACTAAGAAAGATAAGGCAGTACAACCACAATTTATGATTTGATCAAGGGAACTTTCAGCCATTTGAGGCCCCTCAGGATAAGATGCCCGGGGCGGAACGCCCCCTTCGCCCCCCCCCCCCCTCCCCTAGTCCGCCACTGATACT